AGTTTCTTCGCACCATCCAATGCTAATACCATCTAACAGTGAAAAAAAAACGAAAAAATGGGGGGTGGGGGGGCGTAGAAACTGAACAATTGTGGCTAGATGAAATAGTCTTGAGTTTTGTGGGCCGGTACAACTAGGAGATCTAGAGCTTCCATTCGTGAGAGCCGCCGCGGCTTCGTTACTCCCGGCGGGTAAAAGAAACAACCCGTACAGCTCTGAGGTCTGGCGCACATGCACCACTCAAACAAGGAAAGTCCGTTCACCACAATTTCGTTGAACGTGGGGTGTCGTCTCACACTGACTATCTACTCTGTCACTCAGAAAGTCCCGGCGGATGTCACTGCGTACAATGTGAATTAGTAAGTCGACCTGAAACGGAAATTGTAAAAAAATATTGTGAAACGGCAAAATGTAAAAAAAACTATTACAATGAGTAGATCGCCCTCGGCCGCGGACTCCACAACGATTATGTTCACTGATCAGAGAACAGGGCACGCCATCGCGTTGTGATCATTTCCTGGAAAATACGACCCCCCCCCTCCCCATGCTACCTACCACTTTCCTAGATTTTCCCAACTTCCTACCACTTTTTTTCCATTTTTCCCAAAAATTTCCAGTTTTTCAGCCAAGAATTTTCCGTCGAGCAGGGGGGAGGGGAGGTCGTCAGGATTTAACTATCATTTTCAACTATCGGAAATAGTAGTTGTATAGATCTTTGGCAGTCCCTCTCCCAACAACGACCAAATACGACCCCCTCCCTCGCGGTCAAATACGACCCCCCCCTTCCCTCCCTGGCGGTGAGATACGACCCTCGTTGTGATAATATCAACGATGGCGTGCCCTGTTAGAGAAGGGCACGGATGGCTCTAGGGACATATTTTGGTGGTATTTCGGTCGAGTTGGAGTGTCTCGCTTGCTCTGGGAAACCTTCTCGCGACTTTATTCCCGGTGTGTTGGCCTTCCCTTTTTCACGTTAAACATGGGCAATGCCTCTTTTACCAGCGTTAACACCATTTAACACCAGCATTGTCCCCCAATTCCTCAACGCTGCTATTTTCAGCCTTGTGGAAGATACTAATCAGGATCAGCTTAGGGGCTTGCTCTAAGCTGATCCTGATTAGCATCTTGAGTGCCAAAGTACAGCCCAGTCCTCATCGGTGTAGCCTTGGAACGCCTTCTCCTCCGAAAAGAGGACATCAGTAAAATGTTGCCACGCGAGGTTTGGCGCTTGTGCGCGTCGCAGTTGTAACAGCCAGTCGGACTTGCCCTTGGTAATCCATCATGGTCTGTCGTGCTCGTCCCCCTTTATCTCCTCTGCTAGAAAAACACTTCCCTGACTTGCCAATGTTGGCTTGTTTTGCGAAAGCATAAGCGTTACCCTTGGTACTTCCGCACGAGTGCTGCGTTTACTAATGACTTTTACCAACTGCACACCCAGAGCGCTATTCCCATATGGTAAAACATTTTTGTGCAAAACGCTAGACATGTAAAACCACGACAAGTAATTTTGATGCCAGAAGACGCTAGGACATTCGGTGCGATAGTGCGGCGGACTACGGTAGTCGATATTTAGTATACGGGCTCTCAAGCTTCGAGCCTCTTTTTCACATTATTTCTTCTCTTTTTTTCCTGTGTTGACAACATTTAGGATTGAAGGAGCCACTTGATGTCACGCCTTTGTCTATTCCTCGAGAGGAGACCCAATGTGCATAGTTAGCGGAACGTAGACTGCCAGATGATCCCCACAACC